CATTATATAAAGGTACAATTCCCAATGAGAAATGTAATTGTGTTGTATACCTACAATGTACCAATAAAAGAATTTAATAAAAAAAAAAAAGAAAATTCCAAAAAAGCTAAAGGATATAGGAACAAGACAACACCGTGAGCAATCAAATTCAGATTATAGGCCATTCTACAAAGCAAGTAGCTTCAACTTTTCAGAGTCAGTATCATGGAGAAATACAAGCAGGTGACTGTTTTATGTTACGTAGAAGAGAGTAAAGGGAGGTGGCAGCAGCAAGATGATGGACTCTCTTCGTTCATTGTTCTCTGGAACACAATTCTCAACACCTACAACTTAGAGGAAGAGAGCTTTATTCTAGCTCATGTTTTCAGTGCATAGTCAGCTAGCTCCAAAGCAGGAAGGGCATCGTGGAAAGGTCTCAGCCAGGGGAAGCTGCTCATCTCATGGTGGCCAGGAAATGGAGAGAAGCAAGGAGCTGGGAAGGGAGATGCACCCTTCTAAGTCATGCCTCCAGTGACTCACCTTTTCTGACCAGGCCCCACCTCCCAATAGCACAGTTAGCTATAAACTCATAATCCAATCGCCTTCCAAAAGCCCTGCCTCTGAGGACATGAAGCTTTAGGGGACAACTTATATCTACAGTTCTATTCCCCTTCCTAAAGCACTGAAAAACAACCACAAAGAAAACATAAAACAAGTAATTTTCAGTACCAAGGAACCCACTAGGATGGTTAAAATTTTTTAAAAAGGAAAAACTAGTGTTGGAGAGGATGTAGTGTAAGTAGCACCCTAATATGCTGCTGGTGGGAATGTGAAGTGGCCAAACTTGTGAAACAGATTGGCAGTTTCTCAAAAGCTAACCATAGCTTTATAATCTGATCCAGCAGCGAGTCCACTCCTAGGTAGATAGCAAAGTATCTGCAACCAGGAATTCAATCAGATATTTAGACATCAGTGTTCACTACAACATTATGCACAACTAACCAAAAGGCAGAAACAACCCAAATGTACACTGAATTAGTCAGCTTTTCGTTGTTATGATAAAATATCTGATTTTATTTTTTTTGGGTTTTTGTGTGTTTTTTTTGGTACCGGGGATCGAACTCAGGTCCTTGTGCTTGTGGGGCAGGCGGCGGAACTACTGAGCTAAATCCCTGGCCCAAAATACCTGATTTTAAAAACCTAAGGGTGGAAAGATTTATTTTGGCTCATGATTTCAGAGATTTCAGTCTATGGTAAGATGTTTCTATTGTTTCTGGGTCTGGGGGTAGACAGAACATCATGGCACAAAGGATGACAGAGGAAAGCTGCTCACCTCATGGCAGAAAGAAGAGAGGGAGGAAAGCAAGGTGAGAGAGGAGAGCAGAGAGAGTGAGAGAAAGAATCATAATAACCAAGTGTAATGTGCAATTCTTTACTAGTACTTGTTTTCAAAATAAAAAACCATAAAATATACTTTGGACAAGTGGGTTAAATTAAATAGGGACAGAACAGCACATGTTACCATGTAATTGTTAATCTTATTAGGTGTGATAATGGTGCTGTGGTTATGTAGAAGATCATATTATTCTTAGTAAATACATGCTGTAATGTTTAGGGGCTATAATATTTATAACTTACAAATGATGACACTCAAAAGAGCTCTGTGTGTGTGTGTGCGTGCGTGCGTGCATGTGTAGAGAGAGAGAGGGATAGGGAAAGCAAATGCAGCCAAACATCAGCAACTGTCAAATCTAGATAAATATAGCTATTAATTGCAGTATTGTCTTTTTTGTATATTTAAACAGTTTCATAAAAATAAAAGAAACAAAAGTAACATCTTAAAATTCATACCACTCAACTTCCCAGAAATACTCCTATGTATTAATGTGTTGGTTTCAATCCTTTTAGCCTTTTTTCTATGTATAAGAAAAAAGTATTCCTTTTTTAGCTCAGCAGCACCACGCCTGCCTCACAAGCAAAAGGTCCTGAGTTTGATCCTCTGTACCATAAATAAATAAATATTATGTACTGCAATTGTGTACTAATAGAAATAATAATTTAAAAAAGAAAAAAGTATCCCTTTAAGCAATAACAAATGTATATTAGTATATATTGTTTTGGTTTGGGTTTTTTTTCTGGTACTGGAGATCGAACTTAGGATCTTGTGCTTGCAAGGCAGGCATGGAGCCACTAAGCTAAATCCCCAGCTCATATTAGTATATATTGTATATTGGTATCTATTAGTCTACTAAGCCAACAATGTTTATTTGAGTATATCTTACACAGGCCAGATATAAAAATGAATATTATGAATGAAAAAAATGAATAAAATGTTCCCTGAATGTACGATGTGAATCCAGTGAGCCTTATTTTTAACTATAATTTTAAAAAATATCATATAAAAGCAGACAAATGGCAAAACTGTTAATTTCCAGTAACTGCATTATAATTGAGGGGCACCCTCATGAGCTATTCAAATTTGATAAAGCTGTTGTCGGCATTTTTAATTTTTGCTGTTCCTTCATTTAACAAGTATGTATTGTCTACACTATAGTGCTAGGTGCAATAGCAGCAGAATTGTACAAGACACCAACTGTCTGCTTCTCTGAGGCTTACTCTGGTACAGGATCTTAAAAGCACATGTCCTGACAAATCTAGCCACTGGTGTATTCCAGGAGGGGATCTGGGAGGAAGCGGCGTTTAAGGTGAGACTTGCTGGATGACAAGGAGTTAGTTACACTGGATAGACAGCTCTGGTGTTAAATTGCTGAGGGGTCGGACGAGCAAGTCGCCTAAACCTCTCTGTGCCTCAGAGATGATGTTGTTAGGATTAAATAATAGATATCAGGACTTAGATCCATGACTGACCCATGACACCTACATTTATTGAGCACTTGTGATTACTGCTACAGTATTTTAATAGGAGCACAAAGTACCGGGCTTGATGCCCAGGTTACAGCAAAAGAGAAGAGAGAACCAACATGTGCCCTTGGTGTCCTCCTCGTCCAACTTTTTGTACTAAAATAAACCTCTCTTCCAAATATAAAACACAGTATAGAAAATGTACATTAAGATATTCATACTTTTTGTTCCTTCCTATTTTTGCCACCTCCACCCGTCTGAAAGCATTTTCCCGAAGCTCCCCCGTGCATAGCGACTAAAGCCGCTGCAGAGCGAGGGTGAGGACAGCGAAGGACTCCGGTCAGCCTTGGAGCCCCGCCTCGGCCGAGCGCACGTCCCAGCATGCCCCACTCTGATTGGTCCTCCCTTCCAGCTGCCCGGCATCCCTGTAACCAATCGGTTTAGTGCTTGTTGAGCGGCGACAGCAACCGTCGTACACAAGGTGCTGGAGAGGCTGGCGAGAGCGTAGTCGGGCCATGAACTTGGGGTAAGCCAGGGCAAGGCAGATGGTCGTCAGCAGAGAAGGGGGTGAGACTGCGTCGGGGCCTGGACTCTTTGGCGGGGAACCTTCTGGAACTGCGCCCCCTGCAGCGACAGAGCCTGTTTCCCCGAGGTAGAGAAAAGTGAGGGGGATGTGTCGGCCTTTACGACCTCGCAGACCTCACTTTTCACCCCGTAACTCACCTTAGAAACTCCGCGACGGCCTTTCAGCGCGTCGTTACCTGGGGACGAGGGCCGGCGAAGCGTGGAGGAGGGGAGAGAAAGGAGGGCGGAGGGAGTACCTGGAGGGAGAGCATTCCTGGCTTAGACCCGCGCTTCTGGGCGACCCTGGCCTTCGGAGCTGAGCAGAGTATTGGAGCACCCAGATTTCTTTACCGCCTGCCAGGCAAGGAGCCCCGGCCTCCCAAGTGATCAGTGTACGGTATTATCAGGTGCGCATCAAGTAGAGGTTGACTAATACAAGTCTGTGGCGTGCTTTTCGTCGCTGAGAAGTTTAATGTTTTAGGAAGATAAAAAGTCACCAGACCCAGAGCTAACCGCACATCATTAAGCAACTAAATGTTATGTACTACAATATGAGGATTTAAAAATAAGTCTGCACCTCGAGGAGTTTAGAAATGGAGTGCAGAACACATACCTTGCAGTTTCATTGAAGGTCTTTCTTTTTTTCTTTTTTTTCTTTTTTTTTTTGGCGAAGTTTCACCAACATAAATACAAACTATTTATAACCCTGCAATGGGTAGAGCTTATAACCTATCCCTTTTCGTATTTTACCTTTAATAAGTACATTGAGATAATTTGATTTCCCTTACCTGAGCAACACCACAAATTTCGCGCTCCTCGTCAAAACTCTCCCGACCTCTCCCTAGACTGTTGGATTTATTTACTCGTTTATTTTATTATTAGTGTATGTTTGTGATACATAATAATCACCTTCTGGAATTAGTACATATACTATCGCATCAATCATTTTCTTCTTCCACTCCCTGCCTTCCTGTCTACTCCCCTTCCTATTCCCACAGTCTACCTGTTTCCTTTCATCTATCTTTAATTTTGCTCTTTAAATTATTTATAAGTTGAGCTTCTCATTTAACAGAAACCATATCATATTTAAGCTGTGTGCATGATTTATTTCACTTAACAGTATGGTCTCAAGATGCATTTATTTTCCTACAAATGACTCAAGTTTATTCTTTATGGCAGAGTAGTACTCCATAGTATATAAATATCCCATTTTCTTTATCTGTTCATCTGTTGATGGACAATAAAGGCTGCTTCCAAGATATAGTGCTATGAACATGCATGTGGATGTATCAGTGTAATATGATGTCTTTAACTCTTTGGAGAAGATACTTAGAAGAAGAATAGATGGGTCAAATGGAATTTCTATTTTTAGTTTCGTGAAATCTCCACATTTTTAGTTTCTTGAGATTTCCACAGTGGTTGTACTGATTTACATTGCCACCAACAATGTAAAGTGCCCCCCCCCCCGCCTCCTGCATCCTGCATCCTCACCAGCATTTGTTATTTGATTTTTTGACCCTAGCCATTCTTTCTTGAGTGAGATGGGATCTCAGTGTTATTTTAACTTGGATTTCTCTAATGACTGGAGGTGGTGAACATTTTTTCATGTATTTATTGGACATCTCAACTTCTGAGAAGTGTCTGTTCATTTCAGTTACCCATGTTTTGACTGAGTCCTTTATTTTGGCGATCTAATGTTTTTGTGTTCTTTATATATTCTAGCTATTAGTCCTCTGAGGAGTAGTTGGCAACATTTTTTTCCCTCTCTGTAGGTTGTCTCTTCACTCTTGGTTGTTAAAAAGCAGAAGCTTTTTAAATTCCATGTAGTCCCATTTATTGATTATTGGTGTTATTTCTTGTGCAATTGGGGTTCTGATCAGAAAGTCTATGCCTATATCTTAAAGAATTTTACCTATCCTATCTTCTAGCAGATTCAGTGTTTCTGTTTTAATATCTAGGTTTTTAATTCATTTTAGTTTGATATTATTATAGGGTGAGAGATGGGCTTCTTGATTCATTCCTCTGCATGTGGATAGCCAGTTTTCCCAGCACCATTTGCTAAAGAGGCTAGTTTTTTTCCAGCAGATATTGTTGGCCCCTTTGTCAAGAATCAGGTGGCTGAATGTGCCTGGGGTTGCATCCTCAGTTATGTTCCATTGATCCACATGTCTGTTTTTGTGCCAGTACCATGTTTTTTATCACTATAGCTTTGTAAATATAACTTGAAATCTGGGATTGTGATTCTTCCTACTTTGCTCTTGTTGCTCAGGATGGCTTTAGCTACTGTGGATCTCTTCTGGTTCCATATGGTTTTAGGATTGTTTTTTCTAGTTCTGTGAAATAGACTGCTTGGATTTAATTTCATCTCTTGGCCTTCACTTTTGTTCCTGTAATTTGTATTGACACATATTTGAGGTTTTTTTCTTGTAAGACAGTGAATTATAGTAAGGACTGCTACTTTCATTTTCAGTACTTTTTATTTAGGCACTTAACAAATGTACAATTGTTGGGCAGTCCCTACTGTTCATTTATGCTTGTGCTTTAGACATGCACATATAAAGTATCCTATTACTGTGTGTGTGTGTATATATATATATATATATAATCATGTCATAACATATAAAGTATAGCATACAAAGTTTATTGTAGATACATTGTTGTGATAATAACAAGAGTCACTGGATGTGAATGTGTATTTGAAATATGCAAAATAAGTGGGACCATATACTTAGCCGGTTAGTAACCTTTGTGACATCATTATAGTCTGGTGTTCCAGCTCTCCACAGAATGTGTTAGTTGTGAGAAACTGATGAAATGATATATATGACAGCATCTTTACCTAGCTGAGGGGTTTTGGTAACCGCATCCTTTTTTTTTAGTCTGGAGTTATGAATTAAAGGGTGATATGTAGCTGAATTAATTAATTAGTTAACAATAACAAAAATGAAGTTTCAGGTTAAAAATAACAGTATCTTGTATTATCGAAAAGTTTCAAGAAAAAAATTTCTCCCTGTAATTTTTTTCCTCTCTCTTGGGTTGAAAACCATCTTAAATTAAGACTACCTTGATATATACAAGATTCTTACAAAAATTCAAAGGAATGGTTTTACTTTCAAGGTTTAAATGAACATGATGTTTAAAATGATAATTTTCTTTTATATTGCAGAGATGGTTTAAAGCTTGAAACTGAATTACTGAATGGAAAAACCAAGCTAATACTATCTCCGTATGGTATGCTGTGTTACTGGAACTTCAAAATGTTAACTTAAATTCCTACATAAAGTTTATAGTCATTTAACAGACTTTTTGCTTGTAATTGAGTGGTATTTAAATGATACTTTGAAAAAAGCTGTTTTCCCAAATTAATTTAAATTTACTTTTAGTCACATAAAGTCAAATTACATCATTGCTTACTACTGTAATTATTCAGATTTATGAAGTTTAATGTTGCATTGTATTTCATGTATACTTTTATTTGGTTTTTATATTTGTATATAGTATTGCCTAATGCATGACATAGGTGAAATTTAGGTAATTACATTCTTTGCATATAAAGAACGTATTGTTTGAATGAATTAAATTTATAGTGAGACTACAGTTGCTAAAGTCATGTTTAGTATTAGTTTTAAAATTCAGTATTCTTGGTCATCTTCTTCAAGGTTCCGCTCCCCACCTGTTTATCTTTCTTTACCTTGGAAAGATAATGATATAAACAAATATGCAATAGAAATAAATACAGAAGTTGAACCGTACTGTAAAAGTTGGAACACCGAGGCAGGATTAAAAGTTAATGCACTGATTAAAATTTTCTTTTGTGATTCCTTTTGGTTTACAGATTAGTAATTTATTTTTTCTTTTGTAGAACATAAGTCAAAAATTTCTGTGAAGGTAAGCCAAATGACTTTGACCTGATGTGTTTTCAAATGTAAAAATTTTTTTCCCCAGTGGTTTAAAGATAATTCCTGGAAAATATCAAAGTGTTTTTTGGGGGGCGGTTGTGGAATGATGGTGAAAAGTTATTTGTTCTCAGAGTAGTCCTTTTGCAGAAATGGAATTGTATTTTTTTTCCACCTAAAAAAGTCTAATAGAATCTCTTCTCTAGATCAGTGCTATCTAGTAAAGCTTTCTGTAAAGATGAAAATGTTATAAAAAATCATTGTTGTCCACACTAGACTTAAAATGTGGGTAGTGTAACAGAGGAAGTGAATTTCTAATTTCACCTGATCTTTAATTAAATTTAATTGCCACTGGACTAGACAGTACAGTTCTAGAGATCTTTGAAAATAATCAGACTTCAAAACAAAAGCATCTTTTCATACTGAAGTTCCATTTGCCAGCACCAGAAAGGAAATTTGATTGACAGATTCTTACATGCATGTAGTTTAAAAGATTACACTTGGGCCAGGGATTTAGCTCAGTGGTGTGGCCGGCCATTCGATCCCCAGTACCAAGAAAAAAAAAAGATTACACTTAAACTTAGTAGTAATTTTCCTTTTTTGAGAACCCATTCTGCCTCTTTCTACAAAATATATTACCACGTTTAACATTTTTTTTTGCTATTGCTACATTTCTTGTTCCCTATTGTCTTTTTCTATTTTTTAGGTAAATATAGGCAGGAATTTCCCCTCTTCTTCCATAACTTATGGTAGCCCCTTTGTCTTTTACCTTTGCCGTATCTTAAAGTCTCTGCTTGTCTGTAGATATAATTCATTTTGATTATGTAGCATTTTTCCCTTCAACTCTGAGCCCTTGATGGCTTTGTTATTTCTTCCAGGTTTAATCAAAGTGGAAAGTTGTTTCAGTACTTAGATTAATCACTTGATAAATAGGTAATGATCAGAGAAACTCTACAAGCTACTTTTAATTATTTTTGTGTATCTTGACATTGGTCTCTGTTTTCTGTGGTTTTACTTTCTGTGTTTTCAGTTACTTGTCAGTAGTGTCTAAAAATATTAAATGGAAAATTACAGAAATAATTCATCAGTTTTAAATATGCATCATTTGGAGTAGTGTGATGAACTATCGCTCTGTGTTGCCCGGGAAATCATTCCAGTGTGTCCATACCTGTTCAGTAGCCATCTCAGTTATTAGATCAACTATTATCACAGTGCTTGTTAGCAGGGTTTGTCCCACCTTCAGTTTCAGATGTCCACTGGGAGTCTTGGAATATTTCCCCTATGGAGGAAATAGGGGAACTGTGCAGACCATGGGAACCATAGTCCCTGTGAAGGCTACCATACAGTATATAGGTGATTACCTTGCATACCCCTTTAATCACAGAACACAGATTGTATATGATTTCCTCTCCTTTGCCTATTAAAATAGTCCAACTAACCACTTGTATTTGAGACACATTACAAATACAGTGTCTTTTTTTTCCCCCAGTGCCAGGCATTGAACACAGGACCTTGCACTTGCCAGGCAGGTACAATGCCACTGAGTTACATCCCCAGCCTACAATGTCCTTTTTCAAACTTCTAGATGAAGAGCTACTTGTAATGATTTCTTTCATCCCCAGCCCCCTATTCTCTTTCCACGTGTTCCTTCTTCCTACTTGTGTCCTTAACAGATTTGCTGTAATGGCCACAGCTGTGAAGACATTTTATTGTCTTTATAACCAACTCAGAACATCTGGAAATCCTCTTTCAGGCCTACAATAAAGTTACTAGTTTTGGTAGAATCATTACAAAATTGTGTCTGCTATGTATCTTAGGGTTTTTTTTCTTTTTAGACTAATGCGTTCTTAGCTGATGTTTATCTTAATTTATGTGCTGTGTAAAAGCAAACTGGGTTCACCCTGTTGCATTTAGGACTTCAAAATACTAACACAATCTTCTGTATTTTCAAGGGTCTTCTCTTTCTCATATTCACATAAGTTGTGGTGATCCTTTTCCTTCCTGTTTTTAGCTCTTCACAAACATCAGAACCAGTAATATTTGTCTCTTTTGTTTTACTTTTAAATGTCTTGAGTGTCACAGTGCTATATGTCACAGCTATATGTTGAGTTATCTTTTCTGTAAGTTATTCATGAATTTTCTCAACAGAGTGCTTTTCTTTCCTTCTACTGGGATAAACACTGAGTGACTACAATACCTACAATTTTATTTTCCCCATTTCTCACAGGTTGAATTACTGTCGTCTCCACATTGGGTTTTTAAAACATTTTCCTAATTTTATCAAAAGCTCTCCTACATTCTTTTTTAATCTTCATAATGAATATGAAGTAAAGATGGTTAATAGCCTAATTCCTTGTTTATTGGAAGAGAAATGAAGGAACTAGAAATGATTTTGTGTCATAACTGATTTATAAAAATAATGGACTCTAAAAACTTTCTAAGATAGTCTCAAAAATAAGTTGAAATACAAAACATTAAAAATGCTTTTGACCAGTTGTGGTGATACTCACCTGTAGTCCCAGCTACTCAGGAAGTTGAAACAGGAGGATTGATTAAGCTCAGGAGTTTAAGACTGACCTGGACACCATGGCCAGACCTCATCTCAAAAGAGAAAAAATTTTTTCATGGGTATTTGTACATGTGAGAATCAGTGACATACTAAAGGATGTGTATAATATTATGTAATTTTATATTTTAAAACATTACTTTTCTTTGATTCCTTTTGACAGATTTTGGCCACCTATAAATTGTGAAGTGCCAGTATTAAACAAATGTGTTCAGCATTGTCTTTATAATATTTGAAAAATATTGATAGAATTAAAACTAAATAAAAGAGTAACATGCTATATAAAAATGTTTTATAACATAAAGTCCTCATTTGATTAGTTAAAATTGATTTCATCCAGGAAAATTTGGGAAATAATTTGACCTAGGTTGCTTTTTCTTATTTAGTAATCTGAACATAATTTATACTAGAGTAATGAAAGAGACAGAAATGAGATGGTTTCAAGATATGTTGAAGCAATGCACTATACTTGGTAGTTTGCGATAAACTGTTAATAGAAAACTGAAATGCTCAACTATTACCAGTAGAAGCTGTAGTAGTTGGAAATGTACTGAGGTGGTAATATTCATTTGCTTAAATTCATTCCACTGATAATTTCCTTGATCCATTAAGAATGACTTGCCAGTGTCTAAAAACTAGAAAATGTAAAATTTGGCAGTCTTGAGTCTCCTGAAATACTGGATAACTTAGCAGTGGTTCAGATCCTGTTTGGCAGTGTAGGGTAGTTGTATTGGCTCTCTTTTAGATGGGAAGAATGCACTTGTGTTTGTTCCAGTTCCCATCTTGTCTAATTTATGGTAGATACTTGAGTTTGCCACTCTTCACTTAGAGAGTTATATTAAAATAGCTGCAGGAATGAGACGGTGGAAATACATTTTAGAATCAAATGTTGTTGTTATCAGAAACTGAAAGCCAGGTATAAACAGGGTAGAGTGAGTAAGATAATAATCTGTGGTTTATGTTACAGGTAAACTTGAAATGTAAGGTGAGATGTAATTGGCTGATTGGTAACTGGTTATTTATATATTACGGAGTTTCTTGAAAGACAAAGGAAATTTGGATAAGCCAGATGAAAGTTTTTATGGCTTCTAACCCAGTCTTTGACATAAAGAATATCTATTTATTAATTTTTATGTCGCCAACACTTTTCCTATAATGATGAGCACATAAAAAGTAGCACTTGATATTTATTAAATAATTATTGAATTGTTTTAGGTTACAGAAATTTACACTGGATTATGGAAGATAAATAATCAGGTTGTGTTAATGAAAACTTAATCTCAGCCTTGCTATAATGTAAATGATAAGGAAAAGATATTTGGAGGGAAAAACAGTATTTGCAAATAAGCCAAGGAAAACCTGAAGGAAGAGGTTCAAAAGTGACTTCATGGTTACTGGCCTAAGATTAGAACAACAGTGCCACAGAAATGTAATACTTTGGAAAAGGCAGCTAATTTGAGAGCAAGAAGTAGAGAATTTAGTGGCATAAGTATAATAGTTGAATTTATTGCACCAAAATTTACTGAATACCTACTCTGTTTCTGTTTCATTCACCTGTCCTAGATACTGGAGATACAGGAGTGAACAAAACAGACAAAAATCTCTGCCTATGGAGTTTACATTAGGAAAGTGTGGGATGAGTAGACTAAACAAAATAGATGCTATAAGACAAAAAGTGCTGTGAAAAGCTTGACATGATAGTGCATGCCTGTCATCCCAGCACTGTGAAAGTTTGAGTCAGGAGGATTGCAAATTTAAGCCCAGACAATTTAGCAATTTAGCAAGACCCTGTCTCAATATAAAAAATTTAAAACTGGGCTGGGGATTTAGCTCAGCAGCACTAAGCCTGCCTTGCCAAGTGCAAGGTCCTGAGTTTGATCCCCGGTACCAAAAAAAACAAACAAAACAAAAACCTGCTGGAGATGTAGTTTGGTGTAAAGGCTGTGGATTTAATCACCAGTATTAAAAAGAAGGGGGGGAAAGTGCCATGAAAAAAAATGAGAAGGAAGAATGTGATCACGTTACTGGTTTAGCCTTGTCTAGGAATGCTAGAGAAGCAAGCGTGTGGGTAGAACAGGGTGATAGGGAAGACCTCACTAATCAGGTAATGTTTGAACAAAGATTGGAAGGAGGTGAGGCAATGAACCATGTAGAATCTGAAGGAAGAATGTTGCAAGTAGAGGGATAGACTAGTGCTAAGGCTTTGTTGAGTTCAAGGAACAATCAAACAGCATATGTGGCTGAAGGCTAAGAGAAAATTAGGTCAGATATGAGAGATTGGGGGCAAAAGAGGCAAGGGGGGTACCCCACTTTCTGGTTCCCCCTTGTGCCTCTCAGACAAGCTATCTTTCAGTAAATTCTTCCTACTCTTGACCTCCAATGTTCCTAGAATTCATTCTTCAATTTTAGAGAACACAAACTCAGCATGTCCCAACATCGAGCAGGTTGGGAATTATAATATTTCCCCTATATTATTTGGAGGTCCATAGATCATACTTCTTATATCATTTGAAGGTCTTTCACCAAGATAATTGGACAGAGAGGGATGACACCAGGATAAGGAACATTCTGCTGGGCTCTGAATTTCCCTGCCACTGTCCTAAACCTGTGATCACCGATTCTGGGAAAAGCAGAGCCAGCCCCTGGGAGTGAAACCACCTCAGAGTGATCCTGGGAAGGAACCACCCCTCAAGCCCTGAGGTTTCTAGAGCTGATAACCAAGTTGAGATGCAATCCAGGGGCCTGGTGCATCAGCTTGTCCTGCTTTTACTGGCTGGGCTGATTCCCTTCACCAGGGTGCCCTCCTCCAGCTGCTCAAACTGGATCCTTTCCTGTTTTCTCATTCTCCTTTGTTAAGAGCTGACCTGATCATTGTCTCCTCCCCTTACCATTTTCTTACTTTCCAATTAAAGCTTTTTCTTTTGGAAAGAAAAAGAGGCAAGGGGAAGAGGAAATGCTCATAGATTAGAGCTTTTTAGATCATTGAAAGTTCAACTTTTCCTCCAACCAAGATAAAAAGCCACAGAAGGCTTTTGAAGACAATGACATGATCTGACTTAAACGTTAAGGTAATTACTGTAGCTCCTGTGTTGGAAATGGACTGAGGAGCAAGGGTAGAAGCTGGGATTCGAGTTAGAAGGCTTTGGTAATTCAGGTGATAACTAATAGCTTGGAGCAAGGGAGTAAAAAGGGATATGTTTTGAAGATGTAGCAAAATAGTGTTTGATGACAATAAATGTGTCATATGAGACAAGTCAAATATAGTTTTGGGTTAAGTTCTGTATTTGAATATTATTGTAGTTTTTTTCCCCTTGTTCTTCTTTGAATGGTTTAAATTTTTTGTGTGTATGATAATAAAGTTATTTTAAAAAATAAAAAAAATATATATAGCTGCAACATTTTGGGTGTGGTGTGAGCAACTGAGATGGCAAAGTAACTGAGGGGAGGAAGTTGCATAAGGGTAAAAAGGAGATGAGTTTGATTTTGGATATACTAATTTGAAATGTCATTTAAAAACCTAGTGTGAAGTGTTGGGTAGTCATGTGGGACCTAGAGTTAGAGGAGAGGAATGTCAAAAGACACAAACTGGGTAGTCATCAACATGAATAAATATTTAGAGCCAAAAAGAGTAAATGAAATTACCAGTTTAATGAGGGAACGGTGCTAACCTGTGCCTGAGCTCCCCAACTTTAAGAGGTTTGGTAGAAGAGAAGCCAGCAAAGACTAAAGAGGAAGACTTAAGATTTCTGGAAGGGAAGCAAAGAGGTAGTCAGTTGTGTCAGATGCAGCTCATAGGTCAAGTAAAATGAAGATTTGAGAATTGGTTACTACAAGGTCAGACTGAGGCATGATTGAGACCCCTGAGGCAGGCAAAGTCTAACCAACATGCAATGAGTTTATTGCCATCTGGGTGCAGATGGGCCAAGGGTGAGAAGGCTGTTGGCGCTGAGAGGAGGGTGGTCGTGGTTGATATGGGGCATTTTAGGTAGGTGGGGGCACTGCTAAAGAGGGTGGAAAATTTTAGAGTCCCATGGGCAGTGGGCCTGGGGCTGGGTGATAAATAGGGTGGTGGTGAGAGCAGCAGGGTGGCTACTGGCTTCTTGTTTTCTCTGTATTCCTGTGGATTCGGGTAGTGGGTCTGCTTGGGTCAGGGTCCAACTTGAGGGACCTGTCAGTTACTAGATTTAACAAGGTAAAAGTTATTAGCAACCCTGAGCAGTTTTGGTGGGGTAGTGTGAGTGAAAGCCTAGTTGAAATGGGTTTACAGGAGATGAAAAAACAAAATGGGATTCAGAATTGTTTAAGATTGTAAAATAGTAGCATATTTGTATGCAGACACTTTTGATCCAGCAGAAAAGTTTGATTCAAGAAATAATCGCTAGAGAGATCTTTTGAGAAAGAGAGGGTTATGGAATCTTATACAAATAACAGGAGGGTAAGTAGTTTTATGGGTACAGATGCTGGTACAGATTCGATGGTAAAAATTTGAAGTTTTTTTTTTAATACAGTACTTCTCTCTATAAGATTTTCAGTGAAATATTAAGATCTCCCTCTGAGAATAAGGATGGGAGAGAATATTAGGGTTTGGGGGAAGAGAAGGTTGAATAATTACTATTACTAAAAGAGTGAGAGAGTAAAGGGACTTTGGAAATATATGACTTCCAAGTAACATTAAGAGCCCATTTGCTGTTCTTGGCTTTAAGTTTAAGGTGAAGCCAGTTAGCTTGAGTGTGTTGTTTTTCTCCATTGGTGCCATTACAGAGTGGGTGAAGAGATGGATTTTGCCAGATTGGGGATTTGCTAAGAGCAGAGCAATGGAGAAAAGAATAAAAGATATGGTTTTGGTTTACTGTGGAATTTAATATTGTTCAGAAAGGAAATGAGAGCAAGAAGGAGGTAGTAGGATGAGCAAACTCTAGGGCCTATCCGAGTTAAAAGAACCTTTAGAACTGAGATATAGGAGAAAGTGAATTGGAAAAAAATAGGAGGTGGGTAGTGGTCACTGTCCAGTGCTTGAGAGGTTACAGTTATGGGTGCTTACAAGGTCAATATAAAATGTCACTGTGGGAATGAGTGAGGTGCAGTAGCATGGAGAACTACGGCATAGGACAGTGATGGCAAACCTTTTAAAGCTTTCAGTGATAAGGTTAACAGCCTGCATAGATTTGCCACCACTTGCATAGGAGCACAGTCTGAGGAAATGAAAGGCAGGATGTTGAAAGAATGATCTATGTGGATGTGAGAGCATCAGAATTAAGCTGGGCATAGTGGTGTATGCCTGTAATCTCAGCAACTCAGGAAGCTGAGGCAGGAAGATTGCAGGTTCAAAACCAGCCGGGGGAACTTAGTAAGACCCTTTCTCAGAATTTTTTAAAAGGGCTGGGGCTTGGTTGTGGCTCAGTGGTAGAGCACTTGCCTAGCATTTGCAAGATGTCTGGGTCCAATCCCTAGGAACACACATACAAAGACATGAATTATGTTAGAGGATGACCAAAAAGATACTCAAGAAATAAAGGCTAGTAATCTACAGGTCTATAGATGCATGTAAAGAAAAGAGGTAATGTTTGTGTAATGAGGTGGTGTAATGTAATGACCAAAGCTAGAATAGAATGGAGATGTCTGTAACAAATAAAAGTGTATCTGTATTCTTACCTGGAAGTACAATAATTCCTAGTTGTTGATTAAACTTTCAAGTGAAAATCTGCAAAGTTTAGCATTAATTTCTTATGGCACTGTTTAACTAAAGAGCAAAATGAAAAAAAAAGTTTAGAGCACTGATTTGTCACAGATTATGTAATTAAAGATAATTGTTGATTTTCTATGGACTGTTAACAAAGAATAAGCTCCTGGTGTTTTAACAGATGGGCAATAAAACCAAGATTGGAAAGTGTCCCGTAAGAACAAAACAACCTAGAAACAGTGTAAAGTCAACACAAAATACTTTTATTGGGAGTGAAGAACTTTTGCAAAAGAAGACAATTGGTTTGGAAACTTCACAGGCAAGAGGTGAAAAGAGTAGAATGACACTCTCACCCAGTAAGGATTTATGTAAGCCATATACAGATGAAGACTGTCTTCTTATCCAAAAAGAAATTTTACCTGCAGTCCCTAATATACAGAAAACTAGAAACACCACAAATACACCTCTAGGAACTAAACAGAAGACTTGCAAAAAGCACATCACAGCTGAAACTATGAATAGCAGTTTGGTGTGTCTTACACAAGAGCAACTACGACAAACTTTGATGACTGTAAACGAAGGAAAGGGATCTGTTTCCATGACAGAGAATGAAAAGGAGGAAGAAACAAGTAAGATTTTTCTTAAATTTTGTTGAATATGAATTTTCTTGTCTGTGCTTTAGAATTTCAAATTCATTTGCCTTTCTGTAAACTAAAATCTAATTCTCTTAAATTTTAACATGTGGCAATCTTTTGAAATAATTATTATTTTAGAAGACTTTCTGTAATATCCCAGATTACTTTTGTAGTTGTAATATGCCATATTTTAAGGTTCATGCCCAAAATACTATTCTTATGCATTATAGACTTAAGAAATTTGATCTCTGTGGAGTTCAAAAGAGATGTTAGTACAGAAAACTCTTGTCAGGGATTTAGCTCAGTGGTTCTGCCGCCTGCCTTGCAAGCACAAGGACCCAAGTTTGATCCCCAGCACCAAAAACAAAAAACAAAAAACCCCAGAAAACTCTTGTACTTATTTTAGAAGTTAGGAGGCTTTATTTATATATAAAATATATTTATATATGATGTGGGAATTTATAAAACAGTATAAGAATTTACACAAGTATGATGCCATATGCATCCTAAAT